CCTATTATACCACAAGGTCTTTGCACATGTCATCCCCTCCCCTCCTCACTTCACCTCCTCATCTCCTCCCCTCCCCTCCTCACCTCCTCATCTCCTCACCTCCCCTCCTCCCTTCCCCTCCTCACCTCCCCTCCTCACCTCCCTCTTCACAGACTCTGCAAGTCCAAGACCAGGAGTGAGAATCAGATCTGGGATTTGGGCTAAGTGGATCCCCAAGGCACAGATGTGGTTTTGGGTGGAGCCAGGGTTTAAAGAAGGGTCCACTGGGGGAGGCCCCTGAGTTATCAGATGAGCCTGAGCAGGAGGAGGCAGGAGAGGTTGTGGGGGGCTGGTGATGGGAGTCCCCGCCCCCAGGCCACAGGAAGGACAGGAGAAGGGCTCAGCTGCGGAGACCCATGGCCGCTCCCCAGCCCAGGGACAGGCCTGGAGGAGGCAGGAGTGCCCCTAGTGGCCCTAAGTGTCCCCAGTACAGTGCAACCCGGCTCCCTGCGGGCGCAGGTGTGGGTGCTCTGTGCAGTCCTCACCCACAGCGCCACCCCAGGCTGGGATCAAGTCCTGGCTCCACCGCCCACCGGCTGCTGGACCTGGAGCAAGTTTCCTAACCCTTCTAAATCTGTCTTCTTATCTCTCAAATGGGGGTGTAAAGACAAGGTCTCCCCACTGGGCCGTGGTGAGGGTGACAGAGGACGCAGGCACAGAGCAGAGGTGGCAGAGATGGCGGGTTCTGCCCTCACTGAAGTGTCATTGCTGTCTTGCAGGTCACCTGCACTTTCAGACAAAGGACCTTAGAGGATGGAGGCCTCGGGGTGGTGGCCGCTGGTCACTGTGCTCATGGCTGCAACTCCTCTTCTGGTCCAAGGAGACTTCGAGCTCACGGACCCTGGCCCCCAGGACAGTCCTCCCAGGCCGGCCCTGCCCTGCCACAGAATTTCTGTGAGCAACATCGACTTTGCCTTCGGCCTGTACCGACGGCTGGCGCTGGATGCCCCTGGAGAGAACATCCTCTTCTCCCCGGCAAGCATCTCCCTGGCCTTGGCCACAGTGTCCCTCGGGGCCCCGGCGGCCAGCAGGACCCAGCTCCTGGAGGGCTTGGGCTTCAACCTGACCGTGATGTCCGAGGCCGAGATCCAGGAGGGCTTCCAGGACCTGCTGCTTAGGCTCCCCACGCGGGGGTCCCACCTGCTCCTGACCACAGGCCAGAGAAGCTTCCACGGCCTGGGCCCCGGGGCCACCCAGAAACACATCAAGGAGTACGTGGAGGAGCAGACGCAGGGGAGGCTTGGGGCCTGGGTGGAGGACCTCGGGGAGGAAGCCGCTGAGGTTCTGGTGAATCACGTGGCTCTCAGAGGTAAGGTGCGCCTCTGAGATCCTTCTGGGTCCCCGGCTCTGGCCACGTCCTCCTCCTGCTCCCCACAACCAATAGAAGCTTCCTCAGCCTCCCTCGACTTTTGGATGGAAGGCACTCAGCGTCTGTCCCCTGAATCCTGGATGCTTCTGCCTGTTACCTGCAGTGATGGGGCTCCCACCACCTCTTAATGTTAATTGTTGAGATTGTTTTCAAAGAAGGACCTCCAAACCTTTAATATGCTTAAGAGCTCCCTGGAGAGCTCATCCCTAGGGATTCTGGCTCAGGGGGTGGACAAGTCCCCAGAGGACCAGACCCCCTTCCTCCACAGGGGACTCTGCTGCAGGGGGCTGGGGTCTTTCCTGTGCGCAGCCCCATGAGCCACCACTGAATTACAGGGCATGGGTGCCCCTCCTCTGGCAGGTCCCAGGAAATGTGGGTTCACCAAGAGAGTCCTGAAGCAGAGGTTCCTTTATTTTTTCCAAAAGAGCCAAGAGGCCTGCACTCCCACTATTGCGAGGTCAGGGTCCGTCACTAGCCTGTCCCAGCCGATGGGAGGTTTCAGCCCATTGCTTTGGGCCTGAGCTCAGGCAGGGCACCAGGGCCTGGTACCTGACAGGGCACAGCTGCTCACTCCACACCCAGGAAGCAAAAGGGAGGACGAGAGAGAGCCTGGGGTCCCACAGTCCCCCAATGACCTGCAGACCTGCAACCAGGCCCCACCCCTTAACATTTTCACGACGTCCCTCTGAACCACCTTGGGGACAAGCCTTCCACACACGGGCCTTGGGGGACATTCAAAATCCAAGGTGTAGCAGGGTGGTAGTACCTTTGCAATTGTAACACTATTGAATTATTGTAAAAACAGAAAGAGAGAAGCTCACACAGGACGAGGGCTCAGCCCCTGGGGTCACCTGGGTAATAAGGGCCAGGTCAGGAGCGGGTGGTGGAGCGGGGCTCTGCATCCAGGTGTGACCCAGGACTCAGTGCCTCAGCCCCACCCCAGCTGCCACAGGTAACCCCGGGCCCTCCTCTGTTCTCTGCAAGGACAATGTGGCATTTCCTTCCCCCTCAGCTGAGTGGGCACAGCCCTTCGACCCGGGGGCCACCAGCCTGAGAGAGTTCTTCCTGGACGAGCACAGGGCCGTGCAGGTCCCCATGGTGAAGCAGAAGGCCAGCCACCGCTTCCTCCACGACCCCGAGCTGCAGTGCACCGTGCTGCAGATGGACCACGCCGGGAACGCCACCACCTTCTTCGTCTTCCCCAACCGGGGCCAGCTGGGGCAGGTGGAGGAGGCGCTGCTGCCCGAGACGCTGATCAAGTGGGACAGTCTGCTCAGGACCAGGTGGGCTCCCAGCAGGCCGGAGGCAGGGCCTCACCTCCCTGCCCAGACCCCAGGGCGCTGTCACACCCCACGGCCCTGCCACTCCTGGGCCTGGTCACACCTGGCCCAGACAATGTCACCTCTAGGTGAGGTCCCTGGTCTCCCTGAAAGCACCAGTATGGGCCCTGGACCAAGACTCTGGAATCCAGGTCTGGTCCCGGCTCTGCTGCAGACCAGGCAGCACCCTGGGCAAGGGCCTCCCCTCCCAGGATCCGGGTTTCCTCAGAGGTGGAAGGCCAGTGATAACCACAGGGACATGTAAACGGTCACTCTGTTCTATGGTAGCAGGCGAGGAGGACACCTGCCCGTGCTGGGGTCTGGCAGCCTGCACAGCAAGCCCCAGCCCAGAATGTCCCTAAGAAAGAAAAGGACCCAAGAGGCCTGGTGAGACAGGGCATCCAGGAATGAGGAGCACCTGGCTGCTCCAGGGAGCCCGAGGGAGGCAGGAACAGGGAGGCGTGTGGACAGGTGCACGGGCTGGAGCCCCAGGCCTTGGACATGCAGGCACGAGGCAGATGCTGAGCACAGGAGCTGGGCACCACAGAAAGCTCTCACCCTGCCCACGACTGGCAGGGGGTGAGTGGGGCAGAGACCAGAGGCAGGGAGAGGCCGCAGGGAGAGGCCGCAGGGAGAGGCCGCAGGGCTGGCTGGAGAGCTGGGGCGGAAGGGGCCCCCTGGGACTCACACAGGCCCTTCCCAGATCTGCTCAGCAAACCAATTTCTGTCTCCCCACAGAGAACTCGACTTCTACTTCCCCAAATTTTCCATTTCCAGCACCACCAGACTGGAGATGCTCCTCCCACAAGTGCCCGTGGGCGGAGGCCTCCCCGGGCAGCCTGGACTGGGCATCTCTAGGGTAAGTCCAGGCGGGGCCCAGTGGGGGCTTCTGACAATCCCTGGAAGCTGCGGGACCCCTCAAGGTGACATGCTGCTGCCTTAACCTTCAGGACCATGGCTTCGCTGCCCGTCCCACACCACTGCGACCCCCTGGGCCGGGCTCTCTCTGCAGCTGGCTCAGGTCAGGCCAAGCCCCAGAAAGGAATGAAAGGAGACCCACAGAGCCAGCCCCCTGCCAGGGAGGAAGCAGAGGGCAGAGCTGGAGGCTGGGGGAGGGTGACAGCCTCGCCCCCACACCTCCCTGTGGCTTTCCCAAGGACATTCACCAGGCCCAGCCCCAGCCGGGTGCCACATCAGCACCCCCCAGTGGACAGATGAGGCAAGTGCTGCCATCCCATTTTGTAGATGAGACTGAGCTTACAGTGTATCAGTTCCTGTGCTGCTTCAGTAACAGACCACCAGGGACCAGGTCATCTGTAAATTGACTACCTCATGGTGCCGGAGGCTGGGGAGCCCGAGGTGAAGGGGCTTCGCCTGGTGAGTACCTTCTGGCTGTGTCATAACAAGGAGGAAGGCCAAGCCAAAGCTCAGAGAGAAAATGGGCCACCCCTTGCTGTGGTGACCGGCCCCTCGCCCACGGTGACATCAATCCATTTGTGAGATCAGAGCCCCCACAGTCTAATCCCCTCAAAGGCCTGCCTCTTAGTCCTGCTCCTGGCAATGACTCTCCACACGGGCCCTGGAGGGGCCAAGGGAATTACCCCCAGTGACCATACTAGTTAGTGTCCAGCCAGGATCTGAGCTGGGGGCAAGTCGTTGAGCACCGGGACCTGCATTTGTCTCCTCAGCCAGCCCTGGGCACCTCCCCATTACCTGCATGTCACACACACCCCAGAGGGGACAGTGGGTTTGAGGCCAAGCAGGCCTGAGGCCTGGCTTTGTCTCACCTTAGCTGTGTGGCCTTGGGCTACATCACCTCTCTGGGCCTTTGTTTCCTCACCTGATGATTGGGACCCTGGACCCTGTCTCAGGGGGAACACCTTGTCCAATGTCACAGCAGCACAGGGTCCTTCAGCTTCAGGCTGGGTGAACTTTCACACTCAGCAGTGGTGATAAAAGAGATGTGATGGTGGAGTGAGGAATTGGTTGGCCCTGGACAGAGCTGGGGTACAAAGAGCAGAGCAAAGTTAGCATCAGGTGGATGCAGCGGCAGGACAGACCATGAGCACACAAACAGACCTGCAATAGGTCAGGTGGCAATAAACCCACAGATATAGCAGTGTAAGCGGGTGGGGATGGGGTCTGTCCAAGGAACACTAGTCTTGGAGTTCTTGATGGGAAAGTGACCTGAATAAGGGAAGGAAAGGAGTTCTTGATAGAGTGCTCAATACGTGCAAAGGCCCTGAGGCATGACCACACCATCCAAAGCCAGTGAGGCTGGAACACAGTAGACAAGAAGAAGTGCCGTGGGAGGTGGAGAGGACAGAACTCTTCAAGATCAATAAGACTTTGATTTCCCCAAGAGTGAGACAGAACTCCACCGAGGGCTTTAACAGAAGAGTGATGCAATGAATTCCCCTAAGTTAGAAAAAGATCATAAATTATCCAGGGGTGAGAGCACAGAGCAGCTGAAAGGCGATGGATGAGGGGAAACAGGTGGAGCTGGGATTTGGACCTGGGCAGATAGTTCTCAAGTCCAGGCTTGTATGGGTGTCCACAGTGCCCTCAGGAGGCTGTGACCACTCTGTAAATGAGGGAGATGGTTCCCGTTCAGCTCCTCCCAGTCTTGTTTCTCTTGCACCCAGAACTTGAGGCCCCCTGTGATCTTCTCTCGACCCATCAGCTCATGGGAGGGTGATGTGTGGTCACGGACCTCACCTGTGACTGCCGTACCCTCACCTGCAAGAACTGAGCTGGATCCTAGAGCCAGGCCCCTCCCTCATTCTGTGGCCCCGCCCTCATTCCGTGGCCCCGCCCTCATTCCGTGGCCCCGCCCAGTGCCTTGCTGGTCCTCCTTAACCTCTTTCCTCTCCAAGCACTCCTTGGTTTCCATGGAAGCATATTCTTCAGAAGTCTCCTGCCAACTCCAGGATGAAGCCCCCTCCTCACTGATCTGCTTCCTCCATTGTCTCATCCTAGCTCCCTGGCCAGCCCTGTCCCCTACTGTCTGTGCCGTGCCACTCCACGGAATCTCATGGGGCCATAGATGTCCTCAGCTTCCCCCTCCCTGTCTTGGCTTGGACTTTAAAACAAACAAACAAACAAACAAAACCACCTGAAGTGTCTTCACTTATCTCCAAAAATCCAAATTCTCCCTCCTCTGTGGAGCTTCCTCTGACCTTATCCCTCCCCCTTGCTCCTGAAGCAGAACCAGTCTCCCCTGGCAAGCCCCCGCCCTTGGTTTTCCATGTCTTCTCTGCCCTGTCAAACACAAGTGCCTTGCGGGAGTCGTGCCCATAGCCCCCTGCTGTGCTTGGCACTGTGGATCCTAGATACTCCATAAATATTTACTGAATCTATTCATGAATGAATTAGGGATGGAATGAATGAAAACAAATGATCAAAATAATGTGGATGAAAGAATCAGTAAAGGATGGGTGGAAGAGTCGTTGTATGGACGCAGGAAGAAATGGGTGGGTAGATGCTGGCGTGATATTCAAAGTACACTGCGACCTGCATAATGCAGATGCCAGCAGAGGAAACTTAAACAGGGGGACAGAGAGGTGGATCGGGAACAGAGGGGATCATGTAGGGAGGATAGATGGGGTGGTGAGTGTATGGGTGATGCATGGAGGAGGGGGGGAAAGATGGATGGATTGTGGATGGATGGATGAGGGATGGATGAGGAATGGATGGTGGATGAATGGATGGATGGATTGTGGATGGATGATTGATGGAGATGGACAAGTGAATGGGTGAGTAGATGGCTAGATGAACACATAAGCAGTAGATGAATAAAGTCATAGTTAAGCAGATGGTTGACAGGTTAGGTGGATGGATTATGGTTTGCTGAGTAAATGGGTCAGTGGATCGATGATGGATGGACAGGTGTATTTAAGAGTACTAGGTGGATAGATGAGTGAATTTTTCAAAAGGCAGATGCAAGGATGGGTGACGGGGTAAGTGGACGGATGGACAAGTATGGGGTCATGCAAAGAAAGAGAAAGAAAATTGGGGTTGAGTGATGATTCCAGAATTTTTTGTACAAGTGACTCATAAGGCCACCATGACTCTGGAGGAGAAGGGCTCAGAGGCTGCCGCCGCCACCAGCATCCAGCTCACTCCCAGGCCCCACCCTGACCGTGCGCCCCCCACCCCTCCAGCCACTGGGTTCAGCCGGCCCTTCCTGGTGATGACTTTCCACACAGAAACGGGCAGCGTGCTTTTCCTGGGGAAGGTGGTGAACCCGCTGGGGTAGAGCTCTGCACCTGCTGGGTGACTCAGAGCCCGCAGAGAGGAGACACTGACTGGGGCCCGGAGTCGTCCGTGAAGACACCCCGTGACATCATCAGGTTGTCTGAGACTGGGTCTCTTTGTCTGGAAGTGAAATGGGGACTATTTTGCCTCAGTGGAGAGGGCGAGACCCCTTGGACAGTTTCACGCAGCCACAAAGATAACTCTGGCCCACGCACCACGACCCTCTGTTGCAGAATCAAGTCTAACGAGAAGCGGCAGATGTCCAGCTCCCTGGCTCCGTTTTCCTGAGTATCCACAGGTGCAAAGAATAAGAGGAATCCAGGCCCTGCTCACCAGGTGCACACAGGCAGCGACCATCCATGAACTCCCTCTGTGCACCACTTGCTTTATAGATCATAGCTCATTTAAAAATAATGTCTCTCAGCAACCCAACGAGTATGAGGTGTGGTCATAGGAAAGTGGCTTGTATTTGGCCCATTTTCAAATTTTATAAAAAAAGGGCTCTTTTTATGGTTGAATCTAGTATTATTTCTCCCTTTTCATAGTTGAGGATTAGAGAAGGTGAGAAATAAATCCAGGAGGGCTCAGCAGCAAGCAGCAGTCCTGGGATTCGGGCCATTTTATTTCAAAGCCTTGACTGTTTTGGTCTCATCCATTTTGACGAGTTAATGATTCTCAAACTCCACTGTACAAAAAGCAAAACTCTCTTCAGCAGGCCAGGGTGGGACCTGAGGGCCTGCATTTTTCAGTGGTGCTGAGGCTTCTGCTCTGGTGGCCACATTTTGAGGTCCCAAATGCTCTTGCCCCTGTGACAGCAGGAAGGATGGACCTTGTGTCACTAGCAAGGCAGAAGAGTGGCATTGGGTCTTTGATCCCTTTGTGGGACTGAGCAAAGGGTCTGGCAATATCTGTTTGAAATCTGCAGACAGAGCTGCTTTAGGGTCACCTATGAATGGGTGTCCTGGGGGAAAACAGGTTCTTCTAAATATTTCTCCTGGTTTTAAGCAAACCACTGGTGTGTATCGCCCTCCACCTCAGCCCTCGAATCTGAAGGGAGCCACACAGGCCTGGGACCAGACACAGGAGAGACCAAATCCCATACCTGGTGCAAAGCAGGTCCACTGAGGACCAGCTTGACTGAGTCCATTGAGACCCATGCAGACAGGGTACACTAAGCTGGTGTATTACAAACAGGCAGGAAAGGGTGACAGGATCCTGGGGTCCTCTGTGAGCTGGTCCCCCAAAGCCTGGCAAAGCTGCTTTGTCTGTGCATGGCCCACTTGAAATCCAGGATCTCCAGCCTCATCTGGGTCCTGTACCCCAAGCCCACAGAAGATGTTCAGCCAAAGTGCTTACCATGTTTGCTGGGCATTGGTGAGGCACGTCTGTAATCCCAGAGGCTGAGGCAGGAGGATCACGAGTTCAAAGCCAGCCTCAGCAAAAATGAGATGCTAAGCAACTCAGTGAGACCCTGTCTCTCTAGGGATGTGGCTCAGGGATCGAGTGCCCTTGAGTTCAATCTCCAGTACCCAAAAAGCAAAACAAAACAGAACAGGTGTTTCTAAGGAGAAGTAGAGCAGAGCCCGGTCAGCCCTGGCCAGTCTTTCCCTATCCCAGGCCACTGCTCTCCCTGCACCTTCTAGAGAGATTCTAGAGAAATACAAGTGAGTAGGAGGGGGGAGAACTGGGTCTATGGCAAGGACTATGATGAGCTGGAGATCCCCTGCCTGATCCAAAGGGGCATCAGTGGTTAGCTGCCTATGAACGTGGCTTAGACTAGTTTGTATTTGTCCTCAAGTGCCAGGGTGGGCTGGCATGTAGTTCACCCAGGCATCAGGAGCCCTGGCTGGTGGAGCATGTGGGTCTGCCATCCCAGGGGTCTTCTCCACTTGCACGCTCCCAGAGGGCTCACAGAACCTCCAACTTCCAACCAGCAAGGAGCAGGCAGGAGAAGGGGAAGGACAAACCCATTCCCATGAATGATTCAGCCCACAAGTTACACACATCTCTGGCTGCACAGTGCACCCCACTTCAGAGATGCAGGGAGAGAGAAGCGGGGTCTGTCTCAGATGACCACCTGCAGGACAAATCTCAGGGCTTCTCTTGAAAAGGAAGGATGAATGGCTGCTGGGGAACACCCACCTCAGCCTCAGCTCCCACCAGCCTCCGGAAGTGTCTCCTGCTGACCCTGTGGGGGGTGGAGGCTGCAGCAACTGAGGCCTCACAACCAGAGCCCAGGACAGCAGAGCCCCAGCTCCTCGGCCCAAGAGAGGCCAAGAGCCGGAGCCAGCAGGGATCCCAGCACAAGATGGGCTGGCTCTCTTGAATGGCCCTTCCATCAATCATTCCACAAGCATCAGTTGAGTGCCTGCTGTATGCCAGGCACTGGGCATGTGCTCACAGAACTTAAATGGTGGGGGTGAGAATGGAGGTAGGAACCCACCCTGCCAGAGAGCCCATGGAGAAGACAAAGTCATTTGGCACCCGACACCCCAGTGAGGAGGGCCCTGACACCCTGATCTAAGCGGCTGCTTTGGGGTAGGGTTTTGGGGGCATATGGTGAAGAGTGGAGCTAATTTTATATTTTAAAAGGAAAGAAATTATAAGATCAGGCCAACGTAGCATGTTTGGAGGAATGGTCAGAGCCCAGGGGCTGCTATCTGGGACCCAAACCCCCCTGGACAATTCAGCCTTTCAGAGAAGAGTCCAGCAAGAAGTTCAGCCTGCACCCATTGGTCCTGCCAGAACACCTGTCTTTGGACCCATTTGTGTAACACCCAGGGCAACAAGTCCCTAATAGTAGAGGAGCTGGTGACATCTCCATGCCGGCCAGTGACCCACGTCACCCAGGGGCACGGCCGCCTACTGGTTGGGAGCCAGTTCATCTCCCTGCTTGGTCTATACTTGGCAGCACATTTCACTCCTCCATCTCTGTCTAAATGGACGGGAAGCACCCTCATCATGCACGGGGGTGATGTGAGCCCCTGCTCCACAGGGTGTGGAGGTGGAAGAGTCAATGAAGGTGAGGTGTTTAGAGCTTTCCTCACAACACGTCAGTGCCAGAGGAGGGCACACTCTTGTCACCACCTGAGTGGCTGGACAGCGGCCCCCAAAACGTGCAACCCCTGGGCCTGGGCCTGTGACCTTGATTAGAAAAAGGGTCGCCACGGGGTCTCTGCGAGGACTGAAGCTCCGTGCACCCCACCTCTGCCCATCTCCACTGAAGGGACTCGTACTGCTTTGCCCCTCCAGTTTGGCCACACTCTGAGAGATGATGCGGTTCAGACATCTCACAACACCTACGCCAGGAGGGGCCCTCCGGCTGTCATGGCCCCAGAGTCCTGCAAGGAGGAAGCTCAAAGGCCAATTTACCTCTGGGACCAACAAGCACAGGTGACAAGGGACAGACCATCCTGCCACACTCAGGCTAGCCAGAACTCAAGGAGCTCACGGCAGAGGGGGAAGGACTGTGCCGGCCAGAGGTGAGACAATCACGCCAGGACGGAGCAGATTCAACCCAGGAAGGACAAGGAGAACCAGTGGCACTTTGGAAAGACTTTGGGGGCCAGGGGAGCTAGGAGATGACTGGATGCCAGCCACCAGCTGTGTGACTCTAAGTGGCTTGGTCACTCTGAGCCTCTGTCCCCCCTTGGTCAATGGAGGCCAGGCACTGTTTCAGAATTGAGGGATATTCCCCCGCCCTGTGAACCCTGCCTCAACTAGGGCTCCTCGCATTTGTCAGCCGAGGAAACTCAGGGACAGAGTGAGGTGAAGTCTGCCCCCCCAGATCCCATAGCACCCCCCAAGCCTCTTCTGCACCCTGAGCCCCCTGGCCTGTGCATTTCGGCA